TTTCCTTATGCATCAGTTGATTTGTTTTGTTTGTTATCTTTCACTCAAGTGATTCGCTTTTGCTTGATCTTCCCGGTGTGGCTGCGCTTGATTTGCTCGTCTATTACCCACTACCTCGTCCATACTGGCTCCAGGAGACAGTTTCTCGTTACGGGAGGGGACGGGGTGTACGGTCCTTGTGGCCGTGTTAGGATCAAAGAGTGGTTACATGCAGTCAGTGTGGAGCGGACTGCGTTCCAGCCACCGGGTTGTATGCGCTTGATTCCCACATGCAGCGTGCTTGTGTTTGTCTGTGAAGGAGTGTGGGCCGGCTCCGTTGATGAAACCTGGTTCCCATCCCCATGCCTCCCGGTCTTATTCCTTAGGGTTTACACTGGATATGGGGTGTGTGGATGGAGTTGTTGGTGGTGCAGCGCAAGCCACCCATGGTCCTTCTGTAGGCACAGGCATGCTGTGGCTGGCCACAGTGACAGACAAATCCGAAACCGGATGCCGCCACACCCACCGATATATATATATATATATATATATATATATATATATATATGTAATGCTTGGAGTAATTAATCCCATTGACAAAAGCGGCTGCAGGACTGAACCTATGAATTGCCACCTATTATATCCCCACCCTGTACTGTCCAAGGTCATGGGATCCATCATTGCGATGGAAGGTTACGATACTATTGCTCATGATCAGCACTGTTTCCGTTGATAGCGACGGTGCACAACAAACTTGTCATTAGCACGGAGCAGTTGGACCGAGTCAGCTGACATAAGAGAGAATGTTGAGGAAATCTATTGCATTGGTTCCAAGACATTTTATCGTCTAAATCACCGGATTTTTCTTTCTAAATTGGTATTAAAACATCAGCACCCTAGTTGAGCTGGATCACCAACTTTCTCATTTAATGCCAAGTAGTGGTCAAAGTTAGGAGCTACATAGCTAACCCCGTACACGTAAAGTAGAGCATGGCGTGTCTCAGGCTTAATTCTAGAGTCACGGTTATTTTTAGTATTTATTAGAGACCTCGAATAGGTAAACGCTTCGAATTCGTAACTGCGTCCTTACCATCTCAAGATACGGCGCAGGATGCAGGTGAATGTCGATGAACATCAACTTCAGCGTGACCTAAATATGGTCTCCATTACTGCAACCTAACGTAAGCAAATGCAAGGTACTCTCCATACGACACCAGAGTACATACTTCTAAAGGCTAGGAGAGCAACTACTGCAGCTATATTCCGTCGAAGGCGACTTGGTTCAGAATAACAGATTGTTCCAAGCAATCCAGAAAAGCACTGAGACCTGGTAACCAACACGTCGGTCTGTTGCGACGATTGTTCGGATAAACAGATGCTCAGTGAGTATATTCGATTCATATGGAACACACGATCCAAGCCTGGAAGCATTAGCTAGAGAACAACCTTACGGCATTGAACCAGCCTCAACTACTGGCTTCCAACTACGTCATTGGATTGGGTAATCTGCTGTACAAGCAGAGGATGAAACACCTAGTAGTATTCAGCGGACGAGTCGCAGTGTGAAGCAACCAGAGAATAGTATACTTGATTTTGCACAATCAATGTGTATCCCTATTTACTGTAACTACGGAGCAAAACAAACGTGAGGCCACTTCATGAAAATAGAAGAATAGCACGGCCGCCTAGAATGCCGAAGAAATTCCATTCCCATTCGTGTCCGTCACCTGAGGAACGTTCTTCCCGAATCAGTCGCTTCTTCAACAAATCGTCATACTTAAGTTGGTTGGATAATGCATTTAAGCACTTACGTTTTATAACAGCACTATCCGTCCTACTCCTAGGAAATACGGTGGATTTATTATTTGTCTACTAGTAGAGCTGTGAAACTACGCGGAACGCAGGACTTTTGCATTCCAGACGATAAGTCTAAACTTTTGACAGCAAAAGTATAAGCTGTTTTCCTCTTGCCGTTTGCGAAAACCCACCGGACGCCCCAATCAGGATTGTAAAGCAGTGGTTCATTCATTGCCATCTGTTGATGCCAGAGTAAGGTGTCTGACCGCATGGACAGTCGCATTCTCCTTCACAAGCTCCGAAGTTTTGAAATTGATGAGTCTGCCCTGGGTTAGAGTAGCAACTTTTTCATTCAATGTCAGTTGAATGCGAGAGTCCACAGCTCCATTTCTGACCAAACTGAAGTCTAGTGCGGCGGGCCCAAAGGATCGTTACTGAGACCTCGTCAATTCCTAGTCATCATCAATGATCAAGCTAGTTTACTTTACTCGAAATTTCTATTATTTGAAGACAATATCAAGATCTGATATCAAGAAAATGGGCAATCATCCGGCACTGTAGAGCGATCTCGACGGGGCTTATACGTGGCCACCAAAAAACCGGCTCCAGTTCAACGTGACAAAATGCAAAGTCGAAAGCATACACCATCAGCTAACCTATGAATGTGGACTTGGGATCGGCAGTTGCATCGTGTTTCTCAGCGGGAGACACCAACCGACGTTAATTTCAAAGTGAAGGTTTTCCTACCTCTTGACTAAGCTATCATCTGGCCTTCCCTCCTCTTCTTCAATCCACAGCCACATTGTGCAGATAATGCATGACGCAGGAGTCGGTGTGCCGGCATTCGCAACACGTGGCCAAGCCATGGGAGCCCGGTACTGAGCCGTTAACTCCCTCGTCCTGCACCGAAAGCGCGACGCCGAACACACTCATTGCTCATGCGGTGTTCCGACCAGACTTGAGCCAAACTGTGATGGCATCGATGGTCGAACGTAATCTCTTCATGTCTGTCGACCTGATGGACCAAGTTTGATAACCATACAGGAGAGTTGAAAGAACGGCTGCATTGTAAACTCTGCCCTTCAGGGCAAGAGTGATGTCGCGCCGGCACCACAGATAGCGGAGATCGGTAAAGCGTCGAGAAGAGCCAGTCAATACGTTAGCCCCTTGAAGATGGAGTTCCAGCTTTATGTGAAATATGTTTTCCAAGTTTGGCGCTGTTAGCAGAAACACGTCGATGCACTTGAAACTCAACAATGTAGCCCAACCATAAAGTTTAGGAGCTTGTTTCACCTTGGATTATACAGTGGTGAGCATCGGCGTTTTCGTGGAGCTCTTATCATAGCATATCCAATAGCAGCGAACCCCAACCAGACGTGCCGTGACCTGTTGCTACTCTGCCAAAATATTAAGTCGAGAGGCTACCAAGTCAAACTTGCCACGCACTACAATAGAACACATTTCCGACAAACTGTTTTCTCTTGTCGGGTGTCCGAAAAATGGGACACTTCTAATTAGCATCATGTTTACCCGTATCTCAACACTTTTCCAAAGATGTATTGATCACACACTATCTCGTTTCAGACTACGCGGCACAGTCCTTATCAATCGGAAGACAAAATAACGTTAAACAAACAGTGCGCTCTCCAGTCCTCTCGGTAATGTAGCGGTAGGGAAAGCTGCATTTGTGTTCATATGAATCGTTTTTCCCTTCAACTTAATTTTCGGTTTTGTAATAACTAGCTCCTGTCATCCTAGGCACTTGTCAAGCACTCGCCCTTTTACTGCCCACAAATCACTCTACTGTGCTGCGCATGATGACTTGTCTATTAAAGGGTAGGAAATGGCTACTTTAGTGGGAGCCCAGTTTGCGGTTCAAAGACAGGTGGATGTAGAGAGGTCTTCATTTGCACAGTATAAGGTTTCAAGCTGTTCAAACAGTAGACGATACCGAGGATCATTGCTTGCTAGGGAAAACGAAGATGTAGCACACGTTGCAGTTACGCGATGGAAGCCAATCGAGGTACCGAGCAAGAGACGGTATTAAATTCAATAGAAGGACTCAAGCTGAAGTTCAAGTCCCCTGGCCGACCATTCAAGTATACAATAACAATGTTAGTTAGAATTCGACACAACAAACAAACGAATCGGGGAGATCTACTTATTGCTACAATACCCAATTGCCGCCTATAGCTTTGGTTGGATTATTGTGCTAGATAAATTTGTTGAATGAATGTTGCAGAATCACAACTAGGTAGCAAACTTTATCCCAGGGTTCAAGCACAAAGAATGAGGTGAGAACGTCTACAGTGCCGGCACATTGGGTGCAAATGAACCGCAACCCTTCCTGACTCATCCCAAACTTTAACTCTGACAAGCAAGATGCGAACAAACCTGGATGGGAGAAAATTATACTCAATCGTTGTTTGCTCGTAAACGTACAAGGTAGATGTAACTGCAATGGAGAGCTAACGCTTGCCCAGTGGTCGATGATTAGCGACTTTGAGTGGAAGTTGAAGCGAATATAAAGTAGGCAGTTGCATCCGTCCAATAAAATATATTTCCCATTGCGTGTCCAGATACTACGCGCAAACTGTTTCTTGACACCTGTGAGAGCACTCATTAGTAAGAAGTGATACAGTCGCATCTGAACCGCACGTCTCGTAGCATAAACACACAAAATATCCTCTCGTTTAGCATACGGACCAAATGACGAGTAAATAGGCGGTTGATTAAGTGAACCGAATATTGGTCGGTGTAGCAGGGTTGTACACAACCGTGCCCGTTACAAGGTTGAGAAGCGGGAAATACCTTCCTCGTGGCAGCGACATAGAACAAGTATCTTTGTTTCCTGAGAGCGCTTGTTCAGTCGTAGCCGAGCTGTAGTCAACTGAACAAGACCGCCGTAGTTTGAACCAGCCTCAGACTGACCGCAAAACGTTGACACCAGCCTGGTAGATCACAGATGGATAAAATGTGCCTAGTTTCCCTAGAACGTGTTAGCGAGGACACCAAGAACAATGTTGCGTTTGGAACTAAAAATCAGTCGTTACTTGCGTAGTTTGAAACTTTGTCCACGAAGTTGTGATCATCAGCTTCACAGTAGAATCGATTTACCAGTACTTTTAGTTACATTATTAAGTATGGTGCTTTGCAGCCGACAAATTCACACGAAGCTCAAAACACTTGCATTATTCTCATCGATGCCGCCCTTTCGGTTTCAGGTTATCACGTACGTCTACCGTGAACAGACAGCTGGTCTCCATTCAGTAAATATCGGTGAGTCAACACTATGGAATCAATGACGAAGCGCGGTATCTTTTTGAAGAATAAGCGAGCGAGAGCTTACCCATAGCAATCAATGGAAGTTGTTTTTTTGGAACATAGAACTTCAACACGATTGCTAACCATACAAGACAACACACGCGACTGATAGACCTCGCTTCCTGGGGGTGCCTCCGAACAGGATGGCAATGTGGTTAAGAGTTAGACTCAAATTGTACTATGGCCGATTGCAAAACCGGTGCAGTTTCGTACCAGCCAGCCCCTGCTGTGGCACGATAATGAAGAGTACGAAATTTGATGAAAGCTTAAAACACATAGACGGCAGTAGGCCACCTAACGAGATGAAGAAGTCTACATTGTCGCGTGCGATACCCGAAACCAACACATCCTATCCTCACTTACCCGCATAAAATCAAATTTTGGCTCCTTAGAGCTCGTTGTTCGTTTGCAAACGCCCTAAACAGCCATAGGCTCACATACAGAGCGAACTTTTACTAAATGAAAAACCTATTCATTCGCACAATGGTCGTTGAGTGAAGGCATGCTGATCCACTTAGTAGGGAGTATGTTAGATATCTACTGACCCGAGTATGTCTCCAATTCGACGACGTAACTCAGAGTTTCAAACCGTACCGGATTTATCAATACGGAAACACTGAAACGTTGATGTATGAGTTCGGATTAATCACCAAAGCAGAACTAGTGTCTTGTTGGCCACCGATTCGGCCCACTGGCTTTCAAGGGCATGCCATAGTCAACTCGGAAGTGTAAGAAGCGCAATCGCCAAGACTATAGATAGATTGTGGATTGTTGTAGAAGCACCAGAAGAGTTTGATTCAACTGTTTGCCATGCTGAGAAGTGCATAACTTAACACAGGTCTTGTTTTCAACACACAGGTCTCGGATTCGGAGGACTTGTGATGGGCATTAAAGCTATCGGTTATTACCGGATGCCCGTCAGCCGCATTGTCATCGGTGGATGTGAGATGTGAATTGCCCCAGGCGCACTCCACAGTGGTAAGTAAAACAAGGGAGTACTTCAGAAAACGCACTTTCAATAGATGTGATGAAGAGAATAAGCATGGAAGTCGGTTAGCAGTCAGGGGTGTGAAAAAATGGTAGACAACAAGAGAGTAGTTCAAGTGGAATAGGATAAAACAGTGAAAACATGATCACAGAAGACAGATACAACTCCAGACGCATGGAATGAGGTCACGGGTTCACATGTAGACATTAAGGATTCAGATGAAGAGAAAACTGATCGTTTATACTGGCTTCCGAATACTCTATTGGAGGCTCATGAAATAACGTTCGCCTGGGTGGGCTTTGTAAGCCATGCTTGTCTGCGTCTCGGAGAAGTGACGCGCGATCACCAGACGTCTCGTCTGATACGTGAAAAGGATTTCTGGAAACACCCAACAGTTCTGCAAGTATATTTAGGAAAAAGAAACATCGGATGACAGCAAAATATGCAGACTTTATAGGGCCATCGTGATAAACGGATGGAACAAGGCTGAAACACAGAAAATGTTGCCCAAGAATCTGAGGTCAGTGTTTGAGTGAAAATAATGAACCAGCCAAGAGTGCATTGTCTAATTACGTTAGAGCCTACCTAACAGTAGTGCTGGAAAACAGAGGGATAATTTAGTATTTTTGCTCAGAAATTAGCGATCAACAGTCCCTGTAAAGAAACTTGTGTAGAGCCCAACAGAAACGCGGCTAGTCAAACAGAATTGATGAATTGGTCGAATACAGCATATGTCAAAAATAAGAGTTATTCGGGTTCCATTTGTTCATTTGTCGGAAAAGCTGAATGTCACTAGGAGGAACTCGAGCTGACTGATCGCAAGTGTACTAAATTGGATGCCGGAATTGCACGAACACGTCGACATGGAAGAACCTCACATATATCGAAAACGGTGGGGAATATGTGATTGAAATGCCATTACAAATAATTTAAGTTTGATAACGAGCGCCGATACGTTAGTTAAATACAAACGCCTTTTCTGTAAATGGCAAATGGAGCATTGCTGCGTTAGTACGCTAGGCAAAAGATGTAGCTATCCGGACAATGCGGACTAGAGTTTTTTTCGTTGCGCGCTACTGATCCAAATTCTACAGATTGAACCGAATCGCAGTCAGCTTTTCGCTGCTCCAGTCAACAAATATATGGGAGGCTGCTTGATGCAATTAAATGCATAGTCTGCTACAAGGCAATCGGGTCGATCGGATCCAGTTCTCTCAGAGAGAAAAATTACATAGTATCTAAGGGAGTTCACCCTCGAATGCGTCCGTCTGTAAAGAACAAAATGCCCGCAGTTGGATTCGTGCTGTGGTGTTAGACCATGAAACGAATGCGTGAAATTGGCTCTAACAGACCAGACACACAGGTCACTACTTGCAATACTACTATGATGGGGCCGCTTGAAGTCATTACGATAAACAACAGTACAGCAGCCATCTGAATAGATGCTGCGCTGACGTACAACCAAAATGGCCCATAGTAACAAGAATAATAAGGGAAAGTGAAGGGAATCTAGCGTAAAACCTAGATTCTCTAAGCTGGTTCGGATTCCAGCCTCAGTTCTGACCCTAATCGGGGAGAAATGTCTACGTATGACATGCTATTGACAGGAATCAACGTGTCTCATGGCAAACGAACACGTAAGAACAGGAAGCTAGATGCGCATGCGCTTAGTTGCGTTCGATCTGTGTATTCGGTAGCATAAGGCGATGTTCAGCTAACTTACGATAAGCGAATCAAAATGCGTGAAAGCCGTTTACTTCAGCTCTAATTGTAATGATAGGTTGAAACGAGGGAAAATATGAGGAACAGAGGGAATCGAATTAAAAGAACAATAATCAACGTATGGACGAGAAAGGAATCAGAAGCAAGGGATCACCGAATGTAGAGGTAGAGGCATCTAAGAGCTGAAATTGTAAGTAACAACGTCTCTACTCATGAAGACGAAGAGTAACGGATAGGCTCGGTCTTCGATAAGTTTCATAATGCCCCTCTGACACATCGAACGCGGGTCGTCTTGGGTTTTACTCATCAGGAACTATCGCATAAAAACCGCAAATATCAAGGTAACTGATTGGCGTAAAGCACTAACTGACCAATGAATGCAGCACCAGTTCCAAGAAACTGTCCAGTGTGCAGGTCAAAGAGTCTGCTGGTAAACGCCAACCGGTGGAATTCTGCTTTGCTCGTCTGATGCTCACATTTGTGGTTGAAGATGTGCAGAGGCTATACCTCTGATCGACAGTGTGACCTTGCAAGCAATGAGGCATGGCACACTCATAGGCTACTAAGTCTACATCCCACAGCCTCCATAAATAACGAAACATAAGTGAAGTACGAATGCGGAGGCTGGACTTTTCGGCGATGTACCCAACAAAAGTGATATAGCCGAACGATCATCTCCAGCAGTTGTTCATTGATTATGTGAAATGGGATTGAGTTGGCCCAGTCTTACAACAGAAGCTCGCGTTCTGAAGGTGCAAAACAAACCCCAAAGCATGCAATCTTTGCACATCAACTAAGTTCGCAGCAAAAAGAACTATTTCGCCTGCGTACTAGTAGTCAATCACATGACAGGAACACTAATACAGAAAACTTGGAAGAATGCGGAACGGAATTGGTCAAAATTAATTACATCACACAGGTAAAGAGCAAAGGAGAGATGAGGTGTCCTTAGGACTCAGGAGGAAGTGTACTGTAGATTTTTAATAGCCTCGGGAAGTTAGCTTATAAGCTACCTTTCCGAGGCTAGTGTTAATGTCAGAACTGAGGCTGCGATCCAAATCAGCTTAAGGAATTTATAAATAAACAAGCTTCTATTCTCGGTTACGACACGCATGCCATTAATGACATGATCATAGTAATAGTACAACAATTGATCAAGAAATGTTCAATAGTATGATAGGATTTGCATGTATGTAGATCCATAAATGTAGGTACGCAGTTAGGTGTGTTGCTTGTGTTCATAAATGTGTTACTGTTCTCTTATATGTGTTCGATCGCGTCGAAGGTGTCTGAAGAAATATTTGACGTCTGTGAATTTAGTAAGCATGTCAGCGTAAGCTAGGGCAGAGTTTATTTAGTGGCGAATCACATCTGCCACATCACAGTGTTGTTAAGCAGACATGTGTTGCTTTTTATAGTGAGAATGCTTGCCAGGCGGAAACCCACGAAGTCCTGGAACACTGCGGCCTACGCTAGATTCCCTTCGCTCCCGCTTATTATTTTTGGAATAAACGGAAGTGTCACGCGAGCGCCGTTCAACGATAGGACTGTAAGCATGCGTCATCAACTGAAGCTAAAGCAATCTTTGGGTAAAAAGGCAACCTCGGTAGACTAGTGGTTAGTGGCCAATGTGTTCACAAGCCATGTGAATGAAGACCAATCAGACTTTCACTGTTTGGGATAAAAGTACGGCAGAGAATGATGCATAAATCGCCCGTTGCGGACGATAAACTCAAAAGTTTGGACGGAGCAGCGTATTGCTGCCGGTTTAACCGAGAAAATGTGACAAGACGGAACAGGCCATAGCCTACAAAATGTGCAAGTTGATAGATCGCGCTAGTCTAAAAGAAACGAGCAGGATTGAATCCAACTGCATTTGTTCAAGCAAGTTACGCGTTACCACATGAGAAGTGATGGTTAAAGATTCAAGTAGCAGCAAGCTCGTTGTAGACGAAATAGTGCATATGCTTTTCCTAAGAAATAGCTTCCGGTGAGAACGACATTAAGAGCACCACTAAAAATCTACACGGGAATCGGAAAAGCGATTGGTGACCTATTGTTAAGAATCTCATAATGTCAATTTATGTCGGGCAGAACGAGAGAAAATATGAGATACAGGAAGAAGCTCGATGGCTGTGGGTGGAGGTAAAACAGCAGAATTCTGTTTCATGTTAAAACTGTTTTAAAATATAAGCGAACCACAAAAGTCACTAGAAGCCGTTTTGTGATGATTCTCAACTCAACAGCGAATAAATTCAATCGACCAACACACCAATCTTTCCATTCATCTTCTAATCTTTTAGAAAGTTTCTCGTCAATTCATGTATCAAAACTTGGGAACGGATCCAATGTAGATAGTTTACGAATCACAGATGCTACTATGGTGCTAACATTTTCACTTAACCAAATGACGGAGGCTTCCATGACAGACTTACATGGCTTGCACAATGCTGTACACCCTCCGAATGAAGCGACGATCGAGTCTCCGACACTCACGAGCTGACGCTTTTTGCCTAATCACATTACTTTTCTACTGAAGCGATTGTTGAAATAAAACAAAATAAACAGCACCCTGTGTTTAATGTTCTCAAAGTGTGAACTTTGAGCCACACAGATGAATTAAGAAGGAACACGTAGTGCGCATACGTACCAGTTAAGCAAAATATTCGCAAAAAATGTGTCATGCAATCTATCGTAAGACCATTAAACAAAAACAACGGTGTGGCAAGTCGTGCACCAGTAATCAAATGCGATCATCATCATCATCATCATCATCATCATCATCATCATCATCATCATCATCATCATCATCACCATCATCATCATCATCATCATCATCATCAGCAGCAGCAGCAGCAGCAGCAGCAGCAGCAGCAGCAGCAGCAGTGGTATTTGAATTGATGCTTCACTGCCATACAAACATAGGGACCTGGGAAATAGAGGATAATAAGAGAGGAAGAAGAGGGCCTGGTCCAAAAACCAAATGTCCTAAGTAAACATCTGGAGGCAAGGTGTCTACATCTTGTCAACAACACGGTCAAAAACAGCCGATTGTCGTGTAAAGAAAAGGTGGCATAGGTGAGACAGCTTCCGTGCGGTTTTCACTGAGTCGCGTCACAATCAGCCAGAGTAACGCCGATAACCCACCATTAGACACAAGTAATCCGACTAGAAGAAGGTAGCAAATGTGCGAATGGTGAAGACTGCGAGCTATGTCGTGTGACGTATCGAGCCAACTACAAAGCGGGTAACAGGGAGCTCAGAGAATTAATTTGCAGCTGTCAAGTCAGCTTTCGACATAAACCAGCCTTGCGCAACCTTACATCCTGAAAACAAAACAAAGCCCTTCCCGGTAGACGGTGACCTGGCTCACCTACCATGTACCCATCTCAACGGAATGTAATCAATATTATATTTTACACTATGGACCTAGCCTGGTTATCACTGCTTAGTACTCGCCCACGGATATCGTCATTGTGGGTACACTAATGCCACGCAATGCCAGCAATGCTTCGCATGAAGTGATAATGCAAGACTAGAAAGCGCCTCAGAGCTCAGACTGAAGAGACCAAGCTCCACTAACAAGAGCAGTATGGCACCTCAGGCCGAAGGAATCCTCGTCACGGGTACGATAACGTGGCCACAGTTTTCCCAATATGTAAAATGAATTCGGTAACCATACATCCATCAAGGGTAATGCAGCTTCAAAGATAGGCCTCGTTGTCAAGAGTCAGGTGGTCATTAAGTGTCTGATGACCTGCAACAGTACTTTGAGCGTTGGAAGTTCGAGGTGTATACTAAATGATGGAACCCCTCCAGAAAGTTTAGCCAGATTTGACAGTGCCACCTCGCGGCTGTCGAACATCAAGGCAATATCATCCCCATAGTCCAGATTAACCAATTTTTCACCAGACAGCAAGCATGTCAATACCAACATCGTGAAAGCGCGAATCGAACCGTCTATGATGAAGTTCACGACACCGTTTGTCGGGAAGGTGTCTGACAATTCAACATAGGCCCTGAAGCAATCTGGAGTCTAAGCATAAGAAATATAACTGTCCACATATTCCGTGGGAACACGATTTCATGTAAGTATGACAAAGATGGTGGAGCAATCGACTGAGGAACACAGCTATTGTCAGTCAACGGTACGCGTGACCCTGTTCTGAGACCTGCCGCAGTGAATAGACGGTCTAAGGAAACTCATTCCAGAACGGCACCGGCCTGCTTTTCTATCATCCGGGATCCTCGTTCCACAGTAAGCTGACGGATAAAAATTGAGGCCAGTAGCTTTGTCACCATCGGCGCCAGGTACAGTTACCGCTGCGGCTGTCCTTCCTAAATATTGCCACTATAATTGATTCATTCTGGTTAACTGGAATTGTCTCTTGCCCTCAGACATACTTAGACAGATCGGTCAATGACTTACAAAGAACCTCACCTACAAGTTTAACTAGCGTTGGTACAAGGGAATCTGGACAGACAATGCGAAGACGATTAAGGGCTGCAATCAAGTTCCGAACCTCATCCTCCGATGGATCCTCAAAACTAACCGGCTATGGTCCAACCTTCGCTATCTGTGTACGAAGAGATCCGGGATCTGAAGGCCAACTGAGCTGCTTTTGGAAGTGCTCCGTCCAACGAGCCAGATGACGCTTCGGATTGTGAATTGGTGCAATCATGCTATCCGTGATTGTCATAATGGCACATATGTTCCTGGGACCAGTGGTGCGGATCAACCGGAGGGGATGCAGTAGTTGCAAACCGCTCCTGCATTCCTCAGGCTTTATCGTTCACTAGGCTTTATTTTCAGTCAGCAGGCTCCGTTTCACCTCGAGCCTATTAGTCAGTCTGGTTACACTGTGTTCAGAGCCAGGAGTTTTTGGGATTCCAACAAGTACAAAGACATCCCGGATATCCAGTGTCTGATGTGACGACGACTGATATCGACGTCAGGCGGGACCTTTAAATCGATCGTTGCCTTTATCGCTGAACATCATTTTTTTACGTTATCCACTGTAATCAGTTTTACAAGAAGCTGACATATATTTTGTTTAATCAACTCTAAAAGTTACTAAGACTAAACTGTTTTAACCACCTTTTGAATGTAACCGCTGAGATATCGCGCACGATCCACGACCCAAACAAAATTTTACGTCTACTAAAACGGGTTTTGAAGAGACGGTTTAATGAAAGTTTGCCATTTGGAATGGATGCAGGTTCAGAAGATTTAGTCTAGCATTATGTGATCGTTGCTCGATCGAGTTGTGACAGTGCACCCTTCTCATTTTTCTACCATTTTGCTGGCTGTCTGAGTGAGTCTAGATGTGACGAATTTCTACCTACACCATTCAACTCTACCTACTACTCCTCTGTAAACAAACGGTGTATTCCCAGACGTGGAGATACAGTCCAACTGTGTTTTGATCAATATATACAAAGCGATCGCATAAAACAGATAGTTGTTCGAGTTTCTTGAGGCGTATGCCGAGTGAAGTTTTGAGGTGATTGATAAGTTAAGTGTATCAGAATGGTTGAGTTGGTAATAGTAACAGACGCAGGTATAGCCACAGAACTGTCTCTGAAAGATCCGCTTCGTGCGAGATAGTCCCTCCAAAAGTTTCCGCGCAATTTCATGACCTACCTGGCCGATGTCATTTACAAGCAAGTAAGTCGTAGCCTAATTAACTCATCTTTCGGGCTCTTACTATAGGTATTTGCACTCAATCAGTCCAGCCCGTTCCATGAAACGAATTATTCCAGTCCGGACACTTACATTACGCGCGACCGGTAGCAGTCGCGTGGCAGTTAGGGTCTATACAGTGTGACGGCGTACTGCTGTTTTATATTTTTTAACAAATTTTGAGGTTGAAACAAAGGCATCAAATAAGGTTTGTGGTATAAGGTAACTTCGAGTATGATAATGTGCACGGAAGACTGCATTAAAGAGTGGGATGTGAAGGCAATCGAAGTTGTACCACTTAAAAGATTCAAACTGCGCTGTATACTACATGATAAACCAAAGTTTGCAACTGGTAACTGTTCTGCTGCATATACCTATCTGAGACTGATTTCAAAGAGGTGACTCGTTCGTTTGTGACTTTCCATAATTCTGTCTCTTTGTTACAATTAAGTAAGAGGGAAGAACTGAACAGACTTTTCTGGTGCATACATCGTGTACCTCGTTAAGAAGTAAGTTCAAGAATTAGCTGCAGCGATTCAAAAAGAAGTTTCCAAAACCATTGTGCTGGAGCGTTTCACCAGTACTAAATTTTGTCTTTTGTAGTACCTAGTTTGCTAACCCTTTCAGTCGAATACCCAAAATTAGAGGAATGCGCTCAGTCTCTAATGGTATAAAAAAGAGAAAAGAAATGTTCATTTTCATTCGACGCAGCCAGACGGGATCAACTTGAAGTGCATGACAGCGATCCATGTAAGACTGTGCAAGCGACCGCTGCACTTGGTCTAATGAAATGCTATCACTTCTCCTGGAATCGCAGCATACCATTGAGCCGTATTCCAACAAGAGTGTAACTAATTTGCACACGGTATTTATTGAGTCTTTCAAAGTAAAGTTTTTGAAGAGAAACCCGGTACTCATGCGGGCTTTGGCAACAGCATGTTTCGTGTGCTCCGCGAAGTTTAGAGAGTTCGAATTTTAAAGTCTAAAGTCGCGAATTATCTGGCATTGGGATAGTCGTTTTTCATTAAAGGTTGACGATCTAAGACCAACTTTGCAGCTGTAACATATCACGTGGCAATTGTCAACAAGGGCCAAAGTTTGCTACTTGTAACATCACGGTCCGAAGGCACACAAGTCATGTATGTTACTACTAATGTCACTGGCACGGATAGATCCGGTGTAAAGAATATTGGTGTCCTCGGCAAATAGAAAGGGTCTGCCGGAAAGGAATGTGTAAAAAACGATGTCAACCTGTAATAAGAAGATTAGAGGGCCTACAACATTATCCTGTATCACACCACGTGCGACTGGAGTCGATTTCGAGATGCAATGCTGAATATTTTTGCCACCTGGATTCGGTTGGCAAGGCAAGAATGAACCGAGGACAGCAAGGGATCACTGATTTCAAACGTTATTAATTCGGCAATAAGTTGAGCATAAGGCACTCGATCAGATGTCTTTTGCATATCAAGAAAAACAATAATAGCGAAAAGCCCGTGGTCGAATAAACTAACCAGGTTTAAGAAATTTCGACTGACATGTTATGCAAAGAACGAGATGTTAGGAATCCATGTTGTGGACAGTTTATAAGATTGCGTGTCATTAAGAAGTGGGCAGTTGTATAAAGTGTCTCTCCACCATCGTAGACACAATTAAGGTATGGCTAAGCGGACCTGGATTTGTGTCGAGGGGTGACCACGGCATCTTTCCATTGAGATGGCACGATGTCACCTTTCGTGGATAATGAGAAGAGCTTCATAAACAGTATGGGGATCTAATCACCTCCTAGCTTTATCAGATCCACCATAGCAAGACAATTCGGTGGACGAAATAAGACGTAGTGTGCTGGTGATTAAGACAACTACAGGAAGCTTTTTGTCGGTAAGGAAGGGTGTCATTAGCAGCGCTAAAGGATGCGGAAAAATGACGGTTGTAGGTCTCGCCGGTGTACACAGGATCGATCGCTTATCAAGTGATTGATGGACGTTGTAATGGTAAGGACCACGGAGTATTTTTCTACGACTGATT